AAAAAAAAAAAAAAAAAAAAAAACCCACTTTAAATTAGGTTTATAAATCAATTTATTATGGGCAAGTTTAAATCCAGAAAACAGAAATTAATCGTGAAGAATAACCCTTGATCTTTGTCACATAAAAGAGAAGCTTTTAATAAACAAGTATACTATACAGAGATGAAGCAGCAAAACATCTCCTATACATACCTTGTGACTGGTAGACCAATTCTCTAAGAAGTCGAAGACTTGCAGTAAAAACCTTACAATGTGTTTGTGTTAAAAGCTGATTCACAGATAGAAGATCAGCTTCTTGTTGCTTCATCAATAACTTCATGTGCAGCTTCAAGACAGGTAGGATACCAAGAGATATTTCAGGAGAGCATTGAGTATTAGATTCACTATTTCCAAGCTCTTTGACGAAATCAAAAACTATACTTGAACAACTCTCCAGTGCCTGTAGAAACAAATCTGTTCTTGAAAATTCAGAACCAATTAATTCTACAATACTCTGATTACTGTCCACTTGCTTCAAACTTCTTTTTCGTTCCTCTAAATAGGAGTCCTGTGGGATCAGAACTTGAGTGACAGCATCTACTAGCTCAGTGCACTTATTTAAGAGCCTAGAAACTTCCTCTATATCAGTTGAAGTAAGGTCTTTCTTAATGGAAATCCACTGTGAAGTTAACTTGAACTTATAAGATGAATTGCTGCAATGACGATACATGGTGATATTCCAATCCAGCAAAACCCCCAATAGCACAGAAACCAAAGACAGACAAGAATCATTGTGTTTTATCACACTTCGACCAATTGACTGCAAGATGGAAGAAAAAAACTTATTAACAAGATCAGGTTCTAGCCCTTGTTGACTGTTAGAATTGGCAAGGAACCACAACATGGCTTTGTGTGTTTTTTCTGCAACATTTTTAGCTTCTTCAACTTTAAAACACAAGAACTGTAAAGCTGTGCAGCGTAGCTGCAAAGCCTGGTGATGTCTGCCATCTTCTAAGAAAAGTTTTTCAGATTTTTGTTCGACTTCGACGGCAGAGTTCCAAAAGATGACATAGCAATTGTGGACTACTGTTGAAACTATTTTGTTATCAGAGTTCATCAAAAAAGATTTCAACTGCACAGCCAACAGAATAGCCCACTCATAACATTTCTGAAAAAAAACAAAACATTCATGTAAATGAAAAGCAGGAAAATTAATAAACAATAATATTATCAACTTCATACAGAGAGCATGTAAAGAATAAGTCATATTAGCCTAATTATAAAAAAAAAATATCCAGATAAAAGTACGCATATACATAAATTGCTGGCTGATATTTATGTTTAAGGAATGGATATATTACCAAAGCCAGATTACTGCAGATAGTTTAAAAGGAGGATTAAACTGCTGAAATAACAATTGATCTTGTATCAGATGTCACTTGAATGTGAAATTATTCAAATAATCTTGCCAGTATGTAAAATCTGTCACACTGTGGATATCATTTGCACCACTTTTTTTTTATCCCCCATATCTCAGCTCACCATAATGGCAAGTGTTCTTACACTTCAAATAATAAAATCATTGTCAGTTGAAGTTCTTTGCTTTCCCTGTTGATGCGTCTTACACACCTCATGATAGTCTTTCTAGACAATCAGCTGACAAGTAGTAGAGAGACCAGATATAAGCTAGCAAGAAGACAAGTTATGAGCAGGTCATCTGAATGGGAGTGTGTGTGTAGCCTGTGTCCAGTTTTTATTGTCTCATCTGTCACTATTAATCAGAAGATGCATGCATACAATTGTTTTTGTTACTCATGCATTCTTGGAATGCATTTTTCAAAACCATAACATGACCTCTGCTGAATGAAAAATTGATGTATAAGTAAATTAAAATAATTTTTCCTTTTACAACAAACATATAAAACAAAAAAAACAGCCATTAAAGAACAAAATTGAACATTTATATTACATGTTTTGAGCTTAATTAAGCAAGTAAATTTAATTCAGGCTATTTTTTTCTTCTGTAGGAGCCATTAGAAACTGAATACTTGAAAATTGATGCAAGATTATTAATTTGTCACTAAAAAAATTTACTTTTACCTTGTGAATTCAGATCTTAAAACCACTCAAAGTTAAAAACTTTATAATGCCAAATGGTTAGAACTACATTATAGGCTACGATATACCTCTGCAAAGGTTTACGTATCTTGTAAGCAAATAAAAAAACTGACAACCAATCGTAGCCTGGTTATATTTACATATACAACTTAAAACCTTGATATCTGACAAATCAAAATTATTCTAAAATTTCAACAGGGAGATATTTTTATTAATATTTTGAATAATACCAAAGTACATTTTTCTCCTGATAAAGAATCAGCTACCCTTGAAAGGAACCCATGATTTATGGGTAATTATTTGAATAGATGTACTTTTCATTCATTAAGTCATGATGTTATCTTGCTTAAAATGAAATTCCTTGTGTGGACCATAGACTTAAACATACTTTGTTTCTGATTAACAACAGACCTTTATTTGAAAATCTTCAACCATTTTGAACAGCTTAAATTAGTAAATGACAGTAATTTATCTGAGAAATCTTGCCAACAAATACTCATTTATACATTCAAGCCTATCTGTTTTTTTTTCATATCTAAAGGCAAAAAAATTTCAGATGTTACTTTGATTTTGCATACCTTATATTTATAAAGGAGCATACAACAGATATTGAAAGATAACTGAATAACACCACCTTTATTTCCAGCTAAGCAATGGATAATATCATCCTGAACCCGTGCTTTTCCTTTTAATTCTGTGATTGGTTAAAATTGAAATTTTTATTTGCTTCATCTCACATCATGTGTTCGATAGTACTGAAAATATGGTATCTATGATTTTAATAAAATAAAAACAATCTTTAGCCATTGCTGAAATGGAACAACTAAACCCTTCTTTATTTCCAGGTGACAATGGAAAAACATCCACACTTTTATATATATATATACATTGCTGAACTAGCATTATTTCTGACAAACGAAACACAACAGTCAAGCAAATGATATGCTTTCCCAGAGAAAACTTTATTAATATTAAGGGTAAAACTGGTCTACACCCACCCCAGTATCACAAATGGTTCCAAAACCTTTTCAAACTATAAAAAAACAGGTTTTGTGTATACTTTCAATCTTCAAGCAAAAGCTCTTCAAGTTCTCCCAGTGGAATTCTTCATATCAGATTAGTCTTTTCTTTTATTCTATGTAACAATAACTTTTAAAGTTCTCACGAAGTGTAAGGCATACACTTTCCATGAATGAAGTATTTAACCTTAACTTTCATTTTTCTTGTTAAAGTATTAGCAAATTAATTTTTGTTGTTTGCGTGCACCATAATTGAATGAATTTAAAACTGTTAGGGGGAAATCCAAGTATGATTTTCACAGATACTTAAACTTTGCTGCACCATAAGTTTCTTAAACTTAACTGGGGTTGTTTTCTTTTAGCATTTCTATTTATTTAGTTTAATTTACAGGGGAAAGAACAAGCATTAGCAGGAGCCTTATTTATTATTACAGCCATCATTGCAGCTCTTGCTAGTCTTACAGGTTTCACTTTAATTTACATGAAGATCACTTGTCCTATCCTTCATTGCGTTATTGTGTATTGTAGTCTTTATTGTTATCAAATATTTTGTATATTGATTCGTTTCTTGTCTCTTTATGACTTAACTGTTCCAACTCAAAGGGAACACATAGGCCCAATTTCTCTGCATTGCTGGTAATCCATGGTATACTACACTGGTACCACAAGACATATATAGAAAACTTAATTTTTTAAACTAAAGATATTTCTCATATTGATAGTTTTAGTTTAAAGCTAAGCCATGTAGTTCTAATTTTACTTGCTACTATATACATTCAATATTTAAAACTACATCACAGAAAGAAAATGTAAAGATATCTAATCAAGAATGCTGAAAAATGTAACAGCTTTCATATATACTATCATTAAAAAGAATAAAATCATGAAACTAATGATATGAAAAAAAAAATTAACAGTTAACATTAATTCACATATTGTATTTCATTTACTGACTAATTTTGGATCTGTTCCTGCAAGTAAGTGTTCAATTTGGGACCACTAGTTCCCATGAAGAACCCTATGAACTGATATTTCCAATATGTTTTATTACATTAGTACAAGTTTCAAATTCAGAAGTTGTTTGCAAGTTTCAGACAGAAACTAGAGGTACTTACCATTCGTAGAAGTCCAATAATGATGTGGTAAAGTGAAAATGCAAGTTGTGCTCCTTCACTTCCTAAATTACTTCTTGTTTGGAAGACCTCACAACTTAACTTTACAGCTATAGCTATTTCTTCAGCTTCTGATGTTGTAAGATCAGCATTTTCCTGAAGCAGGGTACCACATGCCCGCATCAAACGACCAACAAACAGATCAACATTTTCTACACTCTTTTGCTTTGAATCATTTGACATACAAGAAGCATTTAACTGATTAAGGCATGCCTAGGAGAAAAGACAATAAAGATATCATTAATGATGCTAAAGAATCACTTTACAATACATGTGGCTTATGTAATGTTTAACTCATTAAATGTCAGAAGGAGAAATTAATGAAGCACACTAAATGCATAAAGTTAGGGTACAGGTTGCTTTGGAGAAAGGGGAAAATGAAAGTGCTGGGCTTACAAGGGTGCATAGTAATAAAAAAAGGATATAGAGACAAGTTCAGTTAGCATCCAGGCACCAGGCTAATACATTTGAACCTTTGGCTGTTTGTAGTGAGAAATAAGATTATCAAGTTTTAAATACTAGAGGATTCTCTTAAATATTCTGATAGTTATGTGTATAGTGAGTACAGAAAAACTAAGAGTAGAATTTGGTTGCCATTAATTATAATATACAGTATTGTGTTGCCCTAGGGTAATTAGGGCAACAAGAAGTTTGGAAATAGGTATAAGAGCATTACAAGGTAAATAATGAAGATAGTAGTGTTGTAATTTCAAGTTTTTTTTTGTTCCTTCAGTTCAGATTTGAGCTCAAGACCTCTTTCTCTAATAACTGTGCTTAAAGGGTTAACCCACTGGTACATGCTAATAATGTACTTAACAGTTCAAACTATAAAAGTAGGTTCAAGTATAAGTGAATTAAGTTTTCTTACCTGACCTAAAGTTTCTAATTTTTGTAATTTTTATTAAAAATATACAACAATAAATATAAAATATACACAAATTTAACAGTAACTTGAGCTTTGAGGCCTTTTCCACTCTGCTGAGTAGTTTAATAACTCTTTTGTTTTTTCACTACGTTAACTGTCCATAGTTCATAGCTTTCAAATACGCATTTTGGATCACAAAAAAATATTGGGCACTAGAATAGAATGTCAACTACTATAATTTATGTGGCTTTTTAATCAACCTATAAATAAGTTTAAAAACACCATTACTGCTCTGAGCAGTAGAACTTCCAAAAGATTGGAAGTTTTACATAATGAATGAGGTGCAGCCTGTTGGGATTGAGAAGAAGAAGAAAAAAAAACCTGAATCTATAATGGGTTACAATCAGAAGATTCGAGGGTAGAAAGTTTTTAATGGGCAGTTGTTATAGGCCACGTGATCTGACAGCTGAGGTTAATGAGAAATTGTATGTTGAGATCAAAGCTACTTATAAGAACAATGAAGCAATAAATACAGGAGACTTTGCTTACCTATGAGCATCAATTAGTATCATGCAAACTAACTGATTAATCGAAATTATTAAATTGGTTAATGTCACAAAAATAATCAACTAACCAAAATTAGGGTTTCCAACTGTTACAATCTTCCATTATTCCATCTCTTCAAGTAATCAAAATATTGCTATTAAATTTGTTGATAAGAACAATGCTATATAATGCATTATTTTGGCTCTATCCATTGAGGGTAAGGTATTGAAACTCGATTTTAACTTCAACTTTTTTTTCTTCATTCAAATTTGTTCAGCTTTAGAACAAAGTATCCTTGTGATTCAAGGCCCTCAAGTTCAATTCCCATTGCCACCAAACTTGTACACCCTCTAATTGTTATGGCAAAGACACTGTCACTAATTTGGAACTGGTGACTAGAGGAAAGGTAACTAGCTAGCAAAACACAACATCAACTATTTGGCTACTTAAATATTAAGCTGTGTAAATTTACCATTTTATGACAATGTTGTTTATAATTACTATTTCCATAACTTTTCTTTAATGCTGTGTAAGCAGACGCAGACCTAAGAGAGGGGCCAAGGGTTCTGATCCCCCACCCTACTCACTTATTATAGAAATTAATGAAGAACAACCAGGAGTCCTTACAATGTCAAAATTACTATAACATCTTTTTTTTGAGGTTTTCTGAAATCAATATGGCCTGGGTCTACAGCAATCCAGTCAAGGCCTGAGCCAATAACAATTATTTCCAAATTAATACAATATGAGCATCAATTGAAGTTGCCATGATAAAGTTTTGCACCTTGTTTTTTTTTTTTTATCAAATACTCTAAACATGTCTAAACTTTAAAGATTTGTTTTCATCCAAGTTTGTACTGTTTAGGACACCTGCAGCTCTTATAACATACTTGTTACAGAACAAGTTTTTCATTGTTAATGCCATGTTAGAATATGGTTGAATAATGCAGTGGTTCACAAAGTTATGAAGCTGCTGTACCCCATTTATATTTCTTTTTGATACTATATGGTATAGTGTCAGGAAGTCTGGTTGTTTTATGTTAATTTCTGAAAAATATGGATCAAAACCTGTTTACACAACTTTAAAGAATACAGTTATATAATTATAAGTTAGAAACATAAAACAATTTAAAACACAGTAAATTTACACTTTATGTAACAAAGTAGCCAGACTTGGCAGTGGGTGCTGCCAGTTAGTTGTCTTTTCTATAGTCACCAGTTCAAAATTAGTGACAGTGGCAGATCATCTCAGGAGCTTTGCCATAACAGAGACATGGCAAGCAAGTTTAGTGGCAATTTGTAATACTCTATATTTTACTTAATTCAAGACATATATTCATCAGATAGTGAAATGTTCCAAAGATAATTTCCCTTGTGGGAAAGTAATTGTTTTGTACACTTTCCCTCATATTTCAATGATTTCCCTAAAAAAACATGTTTGCAGGAAATCAACTAAGAAAATTAAATTCCCTCACACAAAAATATATTTTCCTCTATTCTGACCCAATAGTAACATATAAGTCTGGTAAAATAATAATATTATTTATTTGTATTTGACTTCAATTGAAAACATATAAAAAAAACAATCCCGAAATTACTGAACATTTTAAATCCCAATTTTGATAATTAAAAATGGCTGCCCACATAGCATGTTTGCATGCTCTGCCAAACTGTACATATTTATCTCTTTGGAAGAAAAAGGATGAATTTTCAAACATGTAAGAGAATCTAAAAACAGGGTCATTATGGTTTGGATAATGTCCATATAGATGAGGGATATTGACATTTTGGTCTGATTTCCTGCAAATTTACGAGAAATGAGCAATAACTCAGTGATTCACGTATGGGATAGCCTTTCTGCTAATTTCTCCTAATGAAAGTTGATTTCCTCTGGAAACTGGGAAAGCATAAATTTCGACCCCTGATTCATGCATACTTCAAATTAGAATACATATATATTAAGTACCTAGTACAATGTTTAAATGTGCAGATTCCCATATTAAAATATTTCATTGATAATTTTAATAAACATTCACTTGAGGACATATGGCATGAAATCTTAAGAGTGAATATAACACTAAAAGTACACAAATTTGTGACAGAAATGTAAAATATTCCTAACTAATTTATCCAATGCAGAAATATTCCAGATGTTATGTGAAAGTCAAAGACAGGTATAGCATCTAAGATTTTTTAGCTTTTTAAACGTCTTCTTGCTATATAACAAATCTAAATACATGTACTTTTGCAAATGCACAAGAGGTCAATATAATGTGCAGCTTTAAACGAAACCCTACTTTAAATTATGATTACATAAATTACTAGTTAGATGGAAGGATGGTCAAATAATCTATAATTAGAGATAAAAAGAGTTAGTACAAAAGTAAATAAATAACCTTTAATGTAATTTACTTGTGGTTTATTATAAAGGTTTAATACTTATCTATTGAAAGGTTAAGAAAATAAGCATCTACAACCCACACACACCTACAGCTTGAAATAGATTAGGAAATCTAATTTACACTCATTACAGTAGACAATAATATTAACCAGTATTTTGAATTTTAAAGATGTTTAACACTTCTACATTTGTTTTTAAGCATTAACTCTGAACTTATGCCAGTTTCACTTATAGTTTTCAACATAAAACCTATTGAAAGTTTGATTGATTGCTCACTGTGGAACTTAATTTTTTTTAATACTGTTTGAAATGAGCAAAAACAAAAGAAAAGATCAAATGACAAGTCATTCGGCCCCTCAAAGTCACCAAACATAAACATAACTCCCCCACTCACAAAATTATCCAATAAAAAAGGAAATCAAACTACCAGCAAACAAACATTATTCTGCCAAATTATTCCACAAGTTATTAGCTAAAAGGAAAAAAAAATATTTTGACAAATAACCAGCCAGGACCTAGACTTCCATAGCATATTTTTTCTGATATTCAGGATTTCATCTCAGATCTTATTTTCCCAACAAGCCTCCCATGCATGGTTTCTCCAAACCCATAATAATTTTAAACATCTGAATCATGTCATCTCTAATTTACATTCTATTGAAAACAGGTCCAAGTTTCTGGATTTCTCTTCAAAACTGAAGTTTCAAATTAGGAATCATTTGGTAACTATCTCCGAACTATATGTTAAGAGCAATACAGTATACTTATGAAAATAGTGTTGTAATTTATAAGCATTAACATATCTTTAATTCTGAAATTTTACAAATTAATTACAATCAAAAGGTCTCACTTGCACCCTTGATGCTGTCGACTCCAACTTCCGATTTTTGAGGTTTTGTATAATCTGATCGTATTCTACCTGCATCATTGTTCAATCTGGAAGGGCAATGTTCTCATACACAAAACATGCTGGACTCTGAAACAAAAAAACAAAGAAGTTCATGTCTATCTTGACTTGTTCAATAAAAAATACACTTAAAATGACTAAACCAGTACCAGTACTATTTTTTAATAGGAGTACCACTTTTCTAGTCAAGTCACTGGTTGCTTTTGTTTCTTAAGTACTTCACAAATAAAAACTGAATGCTTAAAGAATTGGTGAAAAAGTTAGATGGAAAACAAATTGGCTCAGTGATAGATCCTTAAGGAATCTGTTTTTGTTCATTATTTATATCAATGAGTTGCAGGGCTTGTTGGTCAATAAAATTATTCAACTTACTGATGATATCAAAATGTTGTAAGGAGCTTGGTTCTCTTGTTTAAAAGGAACTTAATCTTAATGACTGAGCCAATAAGCAGAAAATAAGCCTT